GAGGACAGTTTAGACCTGGTATGCGACACACTACGTCCGACTGCTCACTGGGATTTAAACGGTCCTTTATTCACATGAACCGGCTGCGCATGGTAACATTGGGACGGTGTGCAATTCAAAAGCCTAGTCCGGCAGCAATGCACTCGGTCGCTTCCGACACATCCTTGGTGTATGGCAGCGCGTGCCATTTCGTACGGGTTGGTCCTGGTTGGGTCCTCGGAGGGCGAGCACGTAAACACCGTCTTATAAATGCTTTCTCACAGCTATTCCTAAACTGACCGCGCAGATATCGGGCCCCACGTGCTTTTTATTCCGGATCAGTTCAAAGAATCTGGATTTTTTTTAACAGCTTCGTTTGTGAGCCACCGAATGGTTGTTGTGAAAAACGCAAATCTATGTTGTGTCCATTGCCTTCCCGTAGACCGTTTTGTCGATTTCGCCGTTGGAAGTTCACATGACGAGTACATCGGGGAAGTGTAGCTGCTGATCCTTTTCTTCTTCCCTCGAGTATTGCATATCTGGAAAGATCGAGTTGAGAAGATCATGGATATTCTGCAGCATGTTCCTTTTGACGATAACAAATGTGTCGTCAACGTAACGGCGTGTAAAGATCGGGGACTGTTGGCTGAATTGAATTATGATAATTATGATAATAATTATGATGATAATTATTTGGACGCTCGAGGAGGCATAAGGCTTCGGAGTTGATATGACAGACATATTATTCAGGATTTTTCAATCAAATGATGATCTTGGTCCAATCCACGAATTCTATTGCCTTCGGATAGCGAATGCAATAACTCTTACAGCTCTTCCCTAAGGGGAACCATAGTCACACTTAAACAGTAATTTTACCCATAAAAGTCGCAGCTGGGTTGTTCCTTAAAATAAAATTGCTATTGGACTGTATTCGTAATTCAGTTTCGAACTTGTAAACAATTATCACTTAAATCTGAAGCAACAATATATTAAAGAAAGTTATTTGCGGATGTCTGCGCATGTCTCAGACCTGTTTACGATTACCTATGACTAAGGATTCC